GACATCTCAAGCTTCAAAATGGCATATGGAACATCCCTATTGGACCTCTGTGGAGGGAGATATGCTCTCCCGAAGTTCACCTAAAATCTGCCAATTCTACAGAAAATTCGCCAGAGTTTCCTTTGTTTTTCCTTAAATCCCCAAATTTGTACAAACTTAAAAGTACTTCAATTGTACCTAATAATCCAATAATAATCCAGTAATAATCCAATGGGTGGCACACACAAGGACCAACAATGCCTTGGGGCACTTACAACCCAATTCAGTTTATATTTATTACACAGTTTATACTATAATGCTCACTTTAAAATCCTTAACTTGTTTCAATCACAGGGATCCATTTACATGTCATTTCTCAACATAAGCATATAATCATCATCCTACAATAGGCCTAAAGCCCTTCTATCATATTACATCAACATTCATGCATACTTACAACATTTCATTTAAATATAACAACGTTCATATTCATAACTTGAATTTACAACTTGAAATATGAACTTGAATTTACAACTTTAAACATACTTCGAATGAAATAATAACTAACTAGACTCAGACACAATATATATATCATGAACAAGTAATGACAATGCTCCCATGACTCATCCTACGGGCCTCTTGTCCGCCACTCCTGTGCCACTGCTACCTCCTGAAATAAATGCCCCGAGATGGGGTGAGATATATGAATATATCTCAGTAACCCAGAGGTTCTGGAGAAAACTCCGCCCAATGGTTCACTTCGATGCATATAAATAATATAAAACAACCACTTTCAAAACGGGATAAAGCAAGGGATTTAGAGAAACTGGGGAATATCGGGATACAAAATACGACGAAGCGGGATGGTAGCTACCAATACCACGCAACGTCCTCAGCATATATAAGCCTACGGGTATCATCCAAGGTGTGTTCCAAGAACCACAACCATGATTCCCCAACTAACCATAACACCCGAGACATTCCTAGTGTGCTCCTATCCGGATCACACACCACGACCCTAGGTCAACTGGAACTCCCTCTCGGAGACCTATCCAGTGGAAGTCTGAAACTGCCCGAAGGCTAAAACTGTCTACTGGCCAGAGACTTGGTACATAAGTACCCACTGTGATAATGCATGCATGCTCATGTTGTTCTACACTACTCATATACACTTCCTACCGTTGCCATCAACTGGCAAAGTGGAACAGAAAATGGGAACAAGCCCCAGTACCAAGATGTTACCTTAATTTGTTCTTTCACTTAGCTCCGCAGCAGCTATCTTCCAACTTGGTACACGACAGAATGCCTACACAGAGGACATTCCCAATCACTCAAAACTCAAACAATACATGCTAATTCACAATTATACATGCATTGATTCAATCACTTACCTCAATCCACTTGGTCCAGGACCAAGGGCAATCCACTGATTCACTGTTCAGGATTCAAGTCGACGTACAGCAACCTATACAACCACGTACACCCATCAGTATACGTCGAATTACGTCAAAATGCGAAAAACATGAAATCCTCCCCTTCTCTTTGGGGGGTTCGGCCAAACAAGTGTATTTTTGAGATTTATTTTTCTAAATTTTCTTTCTCATTTTATTATACTTCCTTAGGTTGCCATGAGAGGCTAATTCAAGTGTCGTTTTTCCGTTTTACGTCTTTTAAGCATCGTTTCGCTAAATAGTTCCCTCTAGGTTCATTTCAACACTTAAGACTTCCAATTATTTTTCTATAGGTTTTCCAACCTTCCAACCACCACACAACCCACCTAATTTCCATTTAATTACACAAAACATCATCCCAATTATTATTTTTTCAACACAATTCCTTACTTTTCTCAATATGGCCTAATTATGCCCTATGAAATCCCAAAGGATTTCTTTGAATTTTCAACCAGTCCACATCTCATACAACCTCATATTATCAACATACAATCATTCAACAACTCACCCATCAAAGCCCAACAAAATTTCAAACTTCAAAGTCATGACCACAAAAAATTCTTCTAAGTTAAAATCCATTTTTTCACCTAAAATTTTCATTGCATTTCTAGCTTTAATACATCATTCTAAGGCATTATCATCTAATACACATTTTCCAATTGAGCTCTCTAACATCCCACATCAACAATGCAAGGCTTAGGTCTCAAAATCAAATCATCACATTCAACCAATTAAAATGCAAGAACACTCACCCAAATGGAAGGTACAAGGCTCCTCCTAGCTATACTCCACCATTGGAGCACTTGGAAGCTCCAAGAACACAAAATTTCTCCCCAAATCCGCGGCTGTATATGGGCAATATCTCCTCAAGGAAGCAGTTTCAAGGTTCAAGAATGGTACCAATGTGTTTAGAATGTCTTTTCCAACAAATTTCAACATAAATTTTGTTGGATTTGGTGGAGAAATGAGTGATTAAAGTGAGGAGAAGGTTTTGAAGAAAAACTTGGTGCATTTCCATGGGGGGCTGTTTCCACAGGAAGAAGGAGGAGGGAAGGAGAGAGAGTGCGAAGAAAAAGTGAGTTTAACTCACTTAAGTCACAGACGGGTCCCACACGCGTTTTAACTTTAATCAATCATCTAATTCCAACCATAAATTCATGACCTACATATTTTTCTCGTCCATGCCAAATTTTTGTTTTCTAAAATTACTGATAAAAATTTCAAGCTTATCGGTACAATTATACCGTAGTATTTTACACCGGTAAAATCACTATTCATCAACTTTTTCCCGAATTTGCCTAACCACTCGATTTTTCGTTCTAAATCCATTTCCGGGGTTATTTTTATCATCTGAGACCTTCTACTCAATTTTTATCTTCCTAGGGTTGCGTGTTGGCTAATTACCGTTTTGCCCTTTCTTTGTATTTTGGCCTAATCTTTAGGATTTTCACTAATCCTTCACTTAAATACTCACTTAATATTTTAAATATTTAATTTAGAAATGTGAGGTGTTATAAAGTGGATCCTGCTAAAATTGATGTTATTACTGCTTTGCCTTACCCCGCTTCTGTGCAGGAAGTTCGTTCTTTTCTTGGCCATGCAGGTTTTTACAGGCGTTTCATTCAGGATTTCAGCAAGATTGCCCTGCCACTGTCCAATCTCCTCCAGAAAGACATTGACTTTGAGTTTGGTGATGCATGTAAGGCAGCTTTTGATCATCTGAAGCGCTGCCTAACCATAGCTCCTGTGATCCGAGCACCTGATTGGTCTCTCCCATTTGAGTTGATGTGCAACGCATCAAATTATGTTGTTGGAGCTGTTCTTGCTCAGGGGGTCAACAAGGCCCCACATGTCATTGCATATGCATCCAGGACGTTGGATTCTGCTCAATCCAACTATACCACCACTGAAAAAGAACTCTTGGCTATAGTATTTGCTCTTGATAAGTTTCGGTCATATCTGTTAGATACCAAGGTTGTTTTCTCTGACCATGCAGCTTTGAAATTTCTTTTAAAGAAAGCATATGCTAAGCCTAGACTCATCCGATGGATGTTGCTGCTCCAAGAGTTTGACATTGAGATCAAGGATAGAAGTGGAGCCGAAAACCAAGTTGCTGATCATCTGATCCGCATCACCTCTCTTCCATCTGACCCTATACCTATTGGGGATGATTTCCCTTATGAACAGCTTTTACAGCTGCAAGGTAAGTTCCCTTGGTTTGCTGATTTAGTTAATTACTTAGTTGCTGGAGCGTTACCTGTTGACTCCACTAAGGCTCAGATCTTGAAATTGAAAAGTGAGTCTAAATACTATGTGTGGGATGATCCTTATTTGTGGAGATTTTGTAGTGACCAAGTGGTTAGGAGATGTGTGCCTGACAGTGAGACTCTATCTGTTTTGAATTTTTGTCATGGATCTGCCTGTGGTGGTCATTTTGGACCACAAAGAACTGCTAGGAAGGTTCTAGATTCTGGTTTATTCTGGCCTTCTCTACTTCATGATGCTTACGAGTTTTGTAAGTCTTGTGCTAATTGCCAGAGAGCATGTAGCATTTCCCGTAGACATGAGATGCCCCAAAACCCTATACTTTTCTGTGAGGTTTTTGATGTTTAGGGTATTGATTTTATGGGTCCCTTTCCTGTTTCCTTTGGTTTTGCTTACATACTCTTAGCTATGGATTATGTCTCTAAATGGGTTGAGGCGAAAGCCACCCGAACTGATGATTCTGCTGTTGTTGTAGATTTTGTCCGTTCTCATATTTTCTGCAGGTTTGGCATTCCTCGAGCTATTATCAGTGACCAGGGCTCACATTTTTGCAATAGGAGCATGGATGCCTTACTAAAGAAATATGGAGTCCTCCACAAAGTATCTACAGCATACCATCCACAGACAAATGGCCAAGCTGAAGTTTCAAACAGAGAGGTTAAGTAAATCCTTCAGAAGACTGTTAATGCTAATAGAAAGGATTGGAGCAAGAAGTTAAAAGATGCTTTTGGATATATATATAATATATATTATATATGAATAGTATATATATATATATATATATATATAGGTATATATATATATATATATATATATATATATATATATATATATATATATATATATATATATATATATATATATATATATATATATATATATATATATATATATATATATATATATATATATATATATATATATATATATATATATATATATATATATATATATATATATATATATATATATATATATATATATATATATATATATATATATATATATATATATATATATATATATATATATATATATATATATATTATATACCAAGCATATATATATATATATATATATATATATATATATATATATATATATATGTTCACTGTAGTTTCCTTTCTCACCTGACTGGAAATTACACTGTTTCTCAGCCCAATATGCCCGATGCTCCAGCTCCACTGGCAGGTGACATGTGCCTTACCATAAACAAGCCGGTAAGGGGACATTCCAATCAGAGTCTTATAGGCAGTCCTGTATGCCCACAAAGCATCTTTTAAGATTGCTCCAATCCTTATTGCATTAACAGTCTTCTGAGGATTTGCTTAACCTCTCTGTTTGAAGTTTCAGCTTGGCCATTTGTCTGTGGATGGTATGCTGTAGATACTTTGTGGAGGACTCCGATATTTCTTTAGTAAAGGCATCCATGCTCCTATTGCAGAAATGTGAGCCCTGGTCACTGATAATAGCTCGAGGAATGCCAAACCTGCAGAAAATATGAGAACGGACAAATTTTACAACAATAGCAGAATCATCAGTTCGGGTGGCTTTCGCCTCAACCCATTTAGAGACATAATCCACAGCTAAGAGTATGTAAGCAAAACCAAAGGAAACAGGAAAGGGACCCATAAAATCAATACCCTAAACATTAAAAACCTCACAGAAATATATAGGGTTTTGGGGCATCGATGTCTACGGGAAATGCTACATGCTCTCTGGCAATTAGCACAAGACTTATATGAACTCATAAGCATCATGAAATAGAGAAGGCCAGAATAAACCAGAATCTAGAACCTTCCTAGAAGTTCTTTGTGGTCCAAAATGACCACCACAGGCAGATGCATGACAAAAATTTAAAACAGAAATAGTCTCACTGTCAGGAACACATCTCCTAACCACTTGGTCACTACAAAATCTCCACAAGTAAGGATCGTCCCACACATAGTATTTAGACTCACTTTTCAATTTCAAGATCTGAGCCTTAGTGGAGTCAACAGGTAACGCTCCAGCAACCAAGTAATTAACTAAATCGACAAACCAAGGGAACTTACCTTGCAGCTGTAAAAGCTGCTCATCAGGGAAATCATCCCCAATAGGTACAGGGTCAGATGGAAGAGAGGTGATGCGACTCAGATGATCAGCAACTTGGTTTTTCGCTCCACTTCTATCCTTGATCTCAATGTCAAACTCTTGAAGCAGCAACATCCATCGGATGAGTCTAGGCTTAGCATCTGCTTTCTTTAAAAGAAATTTCAAAACT